GGCAGGTATCGGAGTTCGTTACCGATAGCCGGGGACTTATGACATTTCAGGGTCAGATTTAGGTACCGTTTGTGGGCGAGACGTGTACCATTTTGATGGAAGAGGCACATCGATCGAAGTTCTCGATCCATCCCGAGGCGAATAAGATGTATCTGGACCTAAAGAAGGAGTATTGGTGGCCCTGTATGAAAAGGAATGTTGCATGGTTCGTTGAGAGGTGCCTAACCTGTCGTTGGGTCAAGGCCGAGCACCAGAGACCACATGGTAAGTTGCATCCGTTAGAGGTTCCCGAGTGGAATTAGGAACAGATTGCTATGGACTTTATCACCAAATTACCAAGGACTGCGAGGGGTGTTGATACAATTTGGGTGATTATAGACTAGTTGACGAAGAGTGCTCACTTCCATGCCATTAGCGAGAGCTCTTCTGCGGAGAAGCTGGCAGACTTGTATGTGAGAGAGGTGGTCTCGCGGCATGGAGTTCCGATGTTGATTGTCTCGGATCGAGATGTGCGTTTCATTTCTAGGTTATGGAAGAAATTTCATGAGGAGTTTGGTACGCAGTTGCATTTTAGTACCGCATATCACCCATAGACTGACAGGCAGAGCGAGCGAACAATTCAGACACTCGAGGATATGCTCCGAGCATGTGTTTTGGATTTTGGCGGGAGTTGGGACACATACTTGCCCTTGGCAGAGTTTTCGTACAACAACATCCATCATTCGAGAATTGGTATGCCACCCTTTGAGCTGTTGTATGGGAGGAGGTGCCGGACCCCCATTTGCTGGGGAGAGGTGGGCAACGTGTAATGGGTAGTACGGAGATCATGCTTCAGATGACTGAGCAGATATAGCAGGTTAGGAAGAGGTTGTTGACCGCCCAGAGTTGTCAGAAGAGTTATGCAGACAGGCGTCGGTCCGAGCTCGAGTTTCAGGTTGGTGACTTGGTACTCTTAAAGGTCTCTCCTTGGAAAGGAGTGATCCGATTCAGGAAGAGGGGCAATTTGGGGCCTCGATATATTCAACCTTTCAGGGTAATCGTGAGGGTAGGTAGGGTAGCCTACTGTTTGGAGCTACCTGCGGAGTTGGGTCAGATTCACAACACTTTTCACGTGTCGCAGTTGAGAAAGTGTATAGCCGACGAGTCGGTAGTGTTTCCATTAGAGGATATTCAGGTGGATGTAGGCCTGAACTATGTTGAGAGACCGGTGGAAATTAGGGATCGGAAGGTGTGACATCCCGGAATTTAGGGCATAGACTTCAAACGACTAAACTACGACAAATCTATTTGTAATTAATTCATTCAGCTTTAACTGCATCTAAGGAAATATAAATGAGTTAATTTCAATTATTATATAATATTTGATGATATTTTTATGCCCAAACGTGTAAACTGGTAACCCAATCAAACCGCTCAACTGCAGCGCTGACTAATGCGTCTGAAAATTGAAATTTAACATTTTTTCATTTTTGAGCAAAATAAACACAAAAATATGATAGTACATGTTCCCCCATTTCCAAAAATATAAAGAACTCCAAAACGGAGTTTGTATGCAAAAGATATAACCGCTTTAAGAAAAACGGACAGTAAAACACTTTTATTCTTTAATCGCGTAAACAAAAACGTTCCGTTGAGGCACTTACGCTTTGCCGACGGGATTTTTGAGAGCGTTTTTGGACTCAGGATATAGAATATTATTTAATTTCACACTCAAAATAATTCTTACGAAAATATTTATGAAAGTCGCGAAAACGGACACCGCCAACCGTTAAGACGCAAAACTTCAAACGCAATTTCCCGGAGATCCGTAACTCCAAAAATTAATTTGTTTGATGTTCTGAAATCCTTGAATTATACTCTATCTAAAAGTCCTTTCGAAAAAATATTTGATGCACGAATCCCGAGGCACCCGGTTTTCGCATGTTTTGGACATGAAATAGAGGTATAACTCCATGTGGGGCCCACATGTGATGGACTCCAAAAACCTGATCTCTTCCAGCTGGTATAACCCACGTGCTCTCCTTCCACCTCTCCTTTGTGTACAAGTTTCACCAATATATAGTACAAGAGATAGGTGTAGGAGTATGGCCTCTTTATATGTGAGTATGCATTTTTAGTATAAATACATGCATAAGCAGCCTCCAAAATCACACAATTCATCAGCTTCTTCTTCCCTCTCAATTCTCTCTCTCACAGTTACAACATCACCACCATGGATCACCTCCTCCTTTCTGGTCTTCCCTGTTAAAATAAGCAAGAAAGAAGCATCAAAAGGCCACCGGAGTAGCCTCCTGCCACCACTGAATCACCCTCCTGCCAGCAATCACCCACCACCCATTGCAACCTTCAAACACCCACTTCCACCACCCAAGAACTTCATCCCTAAGCTGTCATTGCTATTAATTTCGATCCCCAAAAGCTTCTCCACAATTGTTGCATCGAAATACTGGTAAAAGAAAGAAGAACGAAGCCAGCAGCACCGAACTATCACCTCCGTCAACCTCTCGTCGCACTCACGGCCACCACCAGCACCGCCGGTTTTTGTTGCTGCTCCACTTCTGTGAGTCATCGCCACCCTCCAATTTATTTGTCTTTTGTTCTCATTAAGTTAAACAAATCAAGGACCACTGTATATATTCTGGTTGTGCCTCGGTGTATCACGAAAACAAAGAAGACGAACAGGAGGTTTCCCTCCTGTTTATCATCAGATACACAAACATGCATGCGGTTTTGCCACATGCAGTCCCCCAAGTATGATATTGTCTAGATTCAACCCCTTACTCCCAAAAACTGTTTTTAAACTAGGTCCTAAGTCCTAAACATACATTTGAAATATTCACTATCTACCCAAATTTTGAAAAATCCTTTCAATAGAAGTTGAAAATATTAAAATAGAAATTTCATAAATTCATTTTTTTTACATATATATACATTTTTATATTTGATTGTTATTAAATCTTAAATTATAAAAATTGTATTTAGATTTAAATAAATTTTTGGGAGTTAAATATTTTAGGAAAATAATAAACTAAATTTTTAGAAAAAAAAAATTTATTTAAATGAATTATTTAAATAAATTTTGAGATAATAAACATTTAGAAAAATTCTAAACCATTATACTAGTTCAAATACCCAATATCTACCAAATATTGATTTATAACAAATATTTCTAGGAAATTGGATTTATCCCGGAAATCACGACCTCTCGGCAACGCATCTCGACATTCAGAACTACTCTTTAACCACTCGATAAGGTGAGAGTTACGGCCCCTCTTTTTGTATTTATTTGTTTTGGGGGAGAATACATGTGCTATATATTATTTATGATACAAATATATAAGTCTTATATGATATGCATGCTACAAATTTAAGTTATAAATACTTCCATCATGCATAAGACTTTACACACTTATACAAGATCGTTATGTTAAAATACATATCTCTATAAAAGCGAGTAATTTATACTTTTATAAATACGTCAACCATACTCGACTTTACAAATACTATACTACGAGTTTCATTGTGCCCGGTACTTATCCATAATTAAGCTAGGGTGAGAGTTATTCACAAACTTTGCGTTAATGGTTTTTGAGTGAGACGCTACTATTCATTAGCTGAGTTTAATCACTTAGCCTGCCCCACAATGCTATAATCGTTAATCTTCGGAGCGAGTTACATATATATAGATCTATATAGGGTTGACAACCCCACCTGCGGTTGCTAGCTACAACCATCGACTGATCAATCGAAGCAGGTGATATGTGTCTACGATCGATACTACGATGTCCAATGAAGCATAGTAGGGAGGGGTACCTTTCGTCTATAGCTCGATTATAGAACTCACTAAAAACATTAACACGAATCTCTCTCACTTTTTCACTACAACCATATGTTTGGTTGCTTTTAGAACTGTTTTAAAGTACAGTGGTTACTTATACAATTGATATATTTAAACTTTCATGAAGTTATTACAAACACATTTTCTTTAAAAGCATAATTTTATTTATAAAATTACTTTTTAGCTTTTAAAGACTCATGACAAGCATTGTTTCAACTATCATGATACAAGAAAAATATACTCTTGGACTCTTATAAAAGTATTATTACTGCGGCTAGCAGAAAACCTGTGACTCTCACCAACCTCGTGTTGACTTTCAAAATACATGTATTCTCAGGAAATCAGTGAAATTTCGGGCACACTCAGACGATGGAAAACATGGCTCGCAAGTACTTTAATTTTCTACTTTTGAACTGTTATGCCTCACTGTTAAGGCAAACTCGTATTATTATTTTATTACTATCTGTAAGAACCATGTATGAAAACATAAACATGTAATGAAATGTTGTTTTGTTTATTGACTTGTGCTGTATATTCAATTTATCTGTGATCCATGAACTTAGTCGCACAGCCCGGCATGTTCCGCCGCCTCGGCCGGGGGTGTGACAGATTGGTATCAGAGCTAAATTGGCTATAGAGAACTCGTATCCTCGAAAGAGGAATACAACTATAGCAACTAGCTTCTTATAAAAGTATTATCAATAATAAAACTACTTCCCGACTACTTACGGTATGGTAGTTGGGAAGTACAAAACAAAGATTAATAATACTACAAACCCCACCAACCTTAATATGTAAGAGTTGATATATATACCCTGACCCACGATGAGAACACTTAATAAAAATTCTAAACATCCCTTCAACTAAAACTACCAACTCAACCCTTTAGGTCAAACGCCTCAATTAAAGGTTAGTATCATACATAAGCCATACCACAAATAAACCTGGAACGCGCGCCTATGTTATTTATGGTCGGGCCGGTGCACAACCAACCTTGAGCAAGGAGTTTGACAAGCTACAACGGTTGAGAGTTTTAGAAGTTGAAGAATATCCATCAGATTCGTTGCTGAAGCCTAATACCTTAGAATCCTTTTATCAACCTTAAAAATCTTATGAAAAACTTATACAAATTTACTAACCCGCTTGAAACCCTTTTATGTAGATGGCTGGACTACCGGATAACCCTGATGATTGGTTTCGACTTGAGGATCCTGATGAGCCATTTGGAGTTCCTTTGCATCCACATCCACTACACTTAGCGGGGGATCCGTACTTTCCCCAGGACGGTCTTGAGGAGGAGGATCCCGAAGAGGATCCCGAAGAGAATCCTGAAGAGGATCCCGATGAGGAGGAGCTCGAGAATGAGGGCATATTTCAGGATGCCCAAGAGACTGATGATGATGGTCCTGCAGAGGATGAGGGAGACCTCTCCGAAGAGGAACCTACTCCCCTTACCCCACCAGACTCACCACCGAGACCCTACTACCAGCCGTACCTTCTGCGCGGCAAGGGCCCTTGTATGATGAGGACCCCAGGAACTACTATATCTCCTATTTACCACTTGGACCCAGCTGCTCAGGTTTCCCGACCCACTAGTGGTCTATTAGGGGAAACGTAATCGACCCAGTGAGCCATCTTGGCTCACAGACCTCCTTAGCAGGAGGGATGCTACTGATCTACCACCACGGTTTGAGGTTGGTGAATCTTCACGAGCACCACTCAGGTTTAATCCTGAGGATGATCCGATACCTCGCTTGATGACTCAGATTGATTAGACCGAGGATAGGATTAGATCCTTGGAGCAGTTTGTGAGAGGTCCAGGCTCTACTTCCCTCGACCATCGAGTTGAGACACTCGAGGAAGAGGAGAAGGAGAATTCTGATGCGATCCAGATATTATATCATCTCTCGGGTGCTGATCACGACGCAGTGAATGCCTTGAGTGCTCAGGTTAGAGCACAGAACTACCGGATTCAGATCATGGAGAGCGAGCTTGCTGCGCAGCGAAATCAGTTGGTTATCTCTGCGCAGGAACGACGATACATCTTGGACCAGTTCGAGGACTTTGTCCTCTATGTGATGACTCGATTTGGGAGGTAGATATCTAGGACAGCTTGTGTCCTAGGATAAGGTTAGGACTTTTGAGGAATAGCTTTTGTATTGCAAGTGTTTATCACTGCCTGGTTTGTAATAGCTCTTTTGAAAAGCTTTTCTATTTCTAACCTTATATGGTTAAAACTTTGTAACCAAAAGAAGCAGTTCTGATGACAATGTTTCAGTGTTTTATTAAATGTTTGTATTTATTATGTATTGCTTGCAAAACTCTATATATCAGGAAAAGCTTTCATTTTCTGGTTTCGCAAGAAAAACAAATTGAACAAATACAAAATACACACACATTATAACTATATGGCTTAAAAAAAATTAATCTACTTATCTAACGTATTAGGATAATGCCTCGACGAAAAGAACCACGAGTTCGTCCACCACCGACTCCCCGAACTATCAGGAGAAGTGCTCCAGAGATAACTCAAACAACAGAAGAAACTCCAGACCCTGAAGAAGCCCCAAGTGCTACAAATAACCACCAGAATTTCCAGATGGATCCCACCATGATGCAGAACATGCTTGCACAAGGGATTGTTACGGCCTTGGCGACTTATGAGGCAGCTCGAAACGGGAATACTGGAAATAGCGGAAGTGGTACTCCTGTGGTTGCCCGAAGAAATCCCAAACACTGCTCATACAAAGAATTCATGGGTTGTAAACCCCGATCCTTCTACGGAACTGAAGGAGCTGTTGGCCTATCCCGATGGATAGAAAAGATTGAAGCTGTCTTCCACATCAGCTCTTGCCCGGATGACTGCAGGGTTAAGTACGCTACTTGCACACTGATGGATGCTGCCTTAACTTGGTGGAACAACCATGCCAAGACCGTGGGAATTGTGGAAGCCTATGCCATGGGATGGGAACAGCTGAAACTAATGATGACTAAAGTGTATTGCCCACGGCAGGAGATTCAGGCATTAGAACAAGAACTCTGGAACCTAACCATGCAAGGATCAGAGGTAGCTGCTTATACCTCCCGATTCGAAGACCTTGCAACTCTTTGTCCCGGAATGGTACCTTCAGAAGACAAGAAGACGGAGAGATACATTTGGGGATTAGCATCGCCAGTCCAAGGTCTGGTTACTGCATCCAGACCCTCAACTTTTGATAGTGCCAAGCAGCTGGCCTATGAGTTGACTGAACAATGTATCCGACAAGGCACCATGGCCCCTGCAAAAGAAAAGAACCAAACTGGGAATTCTAAGAGAAAGTTCCAGGGAAAGCCAAAAGGGAACTTCAAACACCGTAAGCGAAACCCAGAGCCTGTAACGGTGTATGCTGCAGTCACAACCACTCCCACTCCAGTAAAACCCTACGCTGGAACTCTACCTCGCTGCCCTAAGTGCAATTATCATCATGTTGGAGACTGCAGGATATGTAGCAACTGCAAATTAAGCGGTCATACCACCAAATTTTGCAAAAAGAACCCAAGCAACACAGCTCAACTACTACCGCAAGAGAAAGTCGAACCTGCTTCGAGTGCAACCAACATGGACATTTCAGGAAAGATTGTCCTAAGCTGAAGAGACAGGGTGGTCAAGGAAGGGCGTTTGTGATAGGTGCGGGAGACGCACGCCAGGAACCAACTGTGGTTACTGGTACGTTTCCTATCAACAATATTTATGCCTCTGTATTATTTGACACTGGTGCTGATAAGAGTTTTATTTCCCACAAATTTAGAAAAATGATTAATCATGAATCATGCAAACTCAATAATGCTTACACGGTAGAAGTAGCCAATGGTCAAATAGAAAGCACCTTAGAAATACTCACCAACTGCCTTCTCACCCTGAATAATCACGTGTTCCCTGTCGACTTAATGCCCATAACCATTGGAAGTTTCGATGTAATCATCGGAATGGATTGGTTATCAGCCCATCGAGCGGAGATTTATGTTACGAAAAAGCTGTACGATTACCCTTACCAAACGATGAAGTCCTTGTGATTTATGGAGACAAGGCGGGAAGAACCTACGAGTCATTACTTGCATGAAGGCAAGGAAGTATTTGCAGAAGAGATGCTACGCTTTCTTGGCCCACGTGGTGGATACGCAAGGCAAGGGTAAGGAAATCAAAGACATACCACAAGTGTGTGACTACCCAGACGTATTTCCAGAAGACCTACCTGGAGTACCTCCTATCAGACAGGTTGAATTTCGAATCGACCTTATCCCGGGTGCAGCACCAGTGGCACGGTCTCCTTATCGCCTGGCTCCATCGGAAATGCAAGAACTATCCAGTCAACTTCAAGAACTTCTCGACAAAGGCTTTATTCGGCCAAGCTTCTCTCCATGGGGAGCCCCGGTATTGTTTGTCAAAAAGAAGGATGGTTCTTTTAGGATGTGCATCGATTATCGAGAGTTGAATAAGCTCACTATCAAAAACCGGTATCCACTCCCGAGGATCGATGACCTGTTCGACCAATTACAAGGATCCTGCTACTACTCAAAGATCGACCTACGATCGGCTATCATCAACTTAGAGTTCAAGAAGCGGATATTCCAAAGACGGCATTCCGAACTAGATACGGTCACTATGAGTTTCTAGTGATGCCATTTGGACTGACCAACGCACCTGCCGTATTCATGGACCTTATGAATCGGGTGTGTAAACCCTACTTGGACAAATTTGTGATTGTCTTTATCGATGACATATTAATATACTCACGAACCAAGGAAGAACATGGCCAGCACTTGCGTTTAATCCTAGAACTACTAAGAAAAGAAAAACTTTATGCAAAGTTTTCTAAGTGTGAGTTCTGGATTAACGAAGTTCATTTCCTCGGTCATGTGGTCAGCAATAAAGGGATTCATGTCGATCCTGCGAAGATTGAAGCTGTCAAGAATTGGAAAGCACCAACAACACCAACCGAAGTACGCAGTTCTTAGGGCTTGCAGGCTATTATCGGAGATTTATTGAGAACTTCTCCAAAATAGCCAAGCCTCTCACCGCACTAACCCAGAAAGACAAAAAGTTCAACTGGGGAGACAGTCAAGAGTCTGCCTTCCGAAAATTGAAGCAATTGTTATGCAGTGCACCAATTTTGTCTCTTCCCGAGGGAACAGAAGACTTTGTAGTATACTGTGATGCCTCACGTCAAGGGTTAGGGT